CTAATTTAAGCCAGTGATCGACTGATGTTAATGTTTAGAAGATGCTAGCTCTTTTTGAAGCTTTTCTCATGGCTGGGTATGGATGAAGTATCACTAACACGTAGATTATTCAGTGTCTAATAATGTATGAGTTAAATAATTTTATTTTCAAGGGGACAAGGCGATGATTTACAGGTCTCTCCCTCACTAGCTGGCAACCTACAGCTTCATGAAACCCTGGGGAGCTTTTGACACTATTCCTGTGTTATATCGAGGTGAAATTGGCCAAAGGGTTCAAAGGTCAATAGAAGAGAGACCAAGAGAAAACTCATGCAAATCAACTTGATCACATAAGCTTTGTGGCTACAGAAAAAAAACCCAAAACAACAACAAGAACAACAACAAAACCCCCTAAAAACCCCACCAAAAACCACAAACAAACAAAAAACCCCAAAACAAACCAAAACCAAAACCAAACCTCAAGGAATTCCATATGTATTTAGAGTAAAAGCCTCTATTAAATCACATGGGGTGAAATTAATCTCAATACAGGAATACAGTGAAGCAAATGGCCCATTCGAATCTCGCTTGTTCCTCAGATTTTAGACAATTGTCTAAACGTACAACATTCCAGTGAAGTTGGACAAGTGTACAACAGTTGTGCTCCTGCTGGAGCTTGGCAGATATTTTGTACTTTGTCATTTAAGTATTAGACATTATCAAATGTTGTCAATAAACAGTCAGGACCATAGTTTATTGTCATCAATGTGTTTTCTCACTGACATCATAGAAAAGTTATTAATTCTTGCAGAGGGTTCTCTTTGCTTGCTGACTAAATTTAAGTCACCTTACAAAATTAATACAATATTTTCAAACTGTGTGTAATAAACATTCATTTGGAGTTTATTCCAGGAACAGAGGATATAAATCAGACTAGTTAAGAGAGCAGCTTTTGCAACTGTGAAACATATTTAAGTGCTAATGAACTGTCTTTCCTTTACAGCTCTTGTATATTCTTCACCGGCTACAGAAGTAGATTCGGTGAGTGCCACTGCTTCCTTTCTATCTCTTCTGTTTCTTTAAAAGTTATATAGAAATCATGCAGTCTTATCTAATTACAAGTAGAAGAAAACTGCACAGCAGAAAGACAACTGGAGTGAGAATGGCGTGGTTTGGTCCCCAGGCTAGAGTGTAAGATGTACCTTACATAGCCTATATGATGTACTATTCTCACTGTATGTTAGGCTGTGTTAGTAATAAAACACAAATGTGGCTCAGAAGACCAGATTTTAGGGCCTTTGTTCCCTAGGTATCAGTGAAGTACTGTACATGCCTTCAGGAGACAGGTTTATTTTGTTGAATGCCTAATGAGCTGGTATGAATTTTAGTTACAGTCATCACTATGCAAATGGGAATTATCAGTGCTTTCTTTAGCTATTCTTGAGCTTTTCTTTAGTATTGACCAGTTCTTTGTTAATATTTTTTTGAAAAGATTAATGGTTTGGATTTCTCTGCAAATGTTCCAGCCTTTTTCCCCTACAGAAAAGCCGTGTGACAAAAAAGTAAGAAATACAGGATTGCAAAACTCCAGCAGTTCTGAACAGGAGGAACAGCATCTCTTGGAAACTTCTGGGTCCAGCAGTAGCTCCCTGAATAATCCAAGTGGATCTGCAAGAGTCAACGGAATAAGTAACAAGAACAATGGAAAGAAAGAAACAGAGAGATTTCAGCAGCAACATTCAGCTGCAGAAGGTTGTAAGCGTCACAGTGGAGACAGACACAGCTCTGCGAGTTCAGGTAAAAACATATCAGCACGATCCAGATCCTCTTGAAATTTGATTATCAGTTATGGGTCTTTTTAGCGGAAGTTTAAATGGCAGGATAGCACATCAGACCCATGTTCAGCAGAGTAACTTTTGAAAAGAAAAAGCCATTGTTTTAAGGCATCAGCCTGAGACAGTAAAGAGAGTGTGCCCAATGGAGAGTAAGTTATTTGCAGCCTAGGGGATCCGTGTGATGGTAAGCACTACCTGGGAGTGGGAGTAAGAGCCAAAGGGAGTAGTAAGAGAAGAACACTGCCAAATGCATCTGAAATGGCAACAGATGGGTAGACAGTTGGCTGTGATCCCGGGCTCTGTATTAATTTTTATGGCTTTATTTCTGGGATGATGTGGATTTTATGATACCAAAAAAAACCTCCAAAGTGTTACAAAACTAACTCCACCACTAAATTAAGTGAAGCAAGAAGACATTTAGTGTCTATTTTAACTTCAAGTCAAAGGAGTGGAGAAAGAATCCAACCATCCTGTTCTAGGTTTCATGCTTTCATGTTTAATGTGTTTTCTCTTAATTTGGCAGAACATTCTGGTAACGGAGGAACACAGGTGAATGTGACTTGTATTGTGAAAGTGTGTGGTCCAGACTGCAGCTCCCTATTCCCAGAACAGACTAGTTCAACCAGCATGGATTATGGAAATGTTCCCTATTATTCCCCAATAGGGGAAGAAATTCCCCTTTCAAAAGAAGAAAACCCCTTGAAAAAAGAAACTGAAATTCAGATTTCAGTGGAAAATGAGGACAATGTACTTCAAGACTTACTTCCAGAAGAAAAGAAGTTTCCTCTGGGTATTCAAGATGCAGGAAAGAAAACCAGTTAAAGGAAATTTTCAATCATACACTGGACTGACTGATAAAATCAATCAAACAAGTTCTTAAAAAATAAACATTATGTTAATTGTAGCATTCCTACAGAGATTTGAAATTTCAGATGAATATAGACACTGATACTTTTGAGGTTTTTAATCTCTTCTATCAGCTTTGAGAGTTGAAGGGTGATCTTTGCAGTTTAAAAAAATACGAATGCTTTTTATTTTAAACTGAATGGCCAGTTCCTTCCTTTCTTCTGTGCTACCTTAGAGAGACCTCTGAAAAGGAACATTTTTCTATCCTTATGCACTGACTTTTCTGCTGAGACTTCCTGTGATGATAATTTGGGTTCGGGTATGCTACCTGTTAAGAACATGGCTGTGACCAGCACTGCTAAGAGACTGGAGTTAAATTATCATTCATTCAATGCTAATGAATTATCCACTTGGTTTTAGTTTTAAAACTATTGCGTTCACTTTCCTATCCCATATCTTCATAGACATACTTTTTGTCATCCTTCTGGACATTTCTTTTATTCGTACAGTTTGCTTTTGCTCATTATTGGACTAAACTTCTCAAATCAACCTTAAGTATATGAAGGAATGAAGTCTTCTACAGGAGCTTTTTTTACTAGTTTGCAAATATGATGTCTGAACAGTAGCATTTCATTAGCTGTACACAGTTCATTTTATTTTAGAAAAGAAAACCTAGATTAAAGAATTGCTGTTGTGGAGTAGGAAGTAAGCTCCTTTTATTGACAGCTCTAGAGTTTGTCATCTTTGTGTCCTGGCTGATGTAATACAGTTCTGTGGTTGATTCTGACCTCATTTTTGAGGTTAACCTTAAACCCAAAGTATTTTTCCCTATGTTCTAGTGAATATTAGAGGAAATCCATGTGAATATATGTATGCCACTGACGTCAGGAAAATGGCTATCTCTTGATGATTGCATAGCATAATCTGTAAAGAGTGGAATTGACTCAGACCTCAGAACCAGGAAATCTTGTTCTCCTTCCCTTCTTGACGCTCAAGTTCCAATCGCCTCTTACAGAAAATTAGTAGAGGTTCTCCATGAATCAAGTGGGAGTCATTTGGTTTTGGAACTCGGTTTTTAGGATCCCATTTCCCATAATTATATTTTACATATGTGACTTAACTGGTGATTGTGGCATCTGTTTTCAACCACAATTTGCAATATGGTGTCTGAATTACATGTGAGTGAAGTCATACAGTAGGCATAACTTTTTATTTTATGCCATAAAACCATATTTTTGGACTAGATGATTTTATTTCCCTGTCACCTGAACTGTTCTATTTTACCTCAAGAGAAACTAAATGTAGTAATTACTGCTGAGGCCTTAGAGTGATAGAGGATCTTTTGCAGTAGCATTTATTCTACAGCTACAGAAGAGATACAGATTTTAAAATAAAAACTTTAAGCTTTCACAAAAGCTATGAGATTTACTAACATTTCTGGAATGAAGACCTGCCAGTTTTTTACTTCTACTATGAAGAAACCTTTTACACATGTGTCTTGAACTTGTAGTTTAAAGGAAAGACTTTGAAACTGGCAATAGTGAAACTATTACAAAACTGAAGTATTTAGGCAAGAAAAGAACCCGGTTTTATACAGGGCTTTGAACCTCATGCACTATACTGAGTATTTTCATGTCTTATCCATCAGTTTCCAGTATTGGGGCCACGTTGAAGAAACAATGGAAGATATTTTATGTTTTTAAAACATTAACAAGGAAGATTCCACTATGGCAGTTAATTTACTGGGTTTTCAAATTACGGAGCTGTGTGACAGAAGGAAAACCCAAGTTTTATTTTGAAATAGGAAAAATGTGCTTGCATTTGCTTAAAAGAAGGATTTAGAAAAAGCCTGTATTTTTGTAATTATGTGCATCTTCAAGTTTCCTGACCTCTCCATTAAACAAAATTCTAATTTTTAGAACGGGTTCTTTCGATCTGTACGTTAAACTGCTGCTTTCCAAACAATTTTATTTCCTATTGCTGCTGCCTGATTAAAAGCTTCTACTGCCCTCTGTGCGCAGGCACGGCGCTGAAGTGCGCTCTTACCAACAACCGCAGCTCTTCCACTTCATGTAGCCGGAGAAAGTCATAATCGCGACCTCCAGCCTGCCCAAACGGACCTTTGTTGGGGTATTTTTTGAGCTAAAAAACTTCGTTTACTGCAATTTACTCCACATGACAGCGGTCCCCTCTTGAGGCTCCCGGGCCGCTGAATGCTGCTGGCCAGCGCTGCC